CGAATGTCGCGATCGTAAAATCGATACCTACGAGTATACCTACGACTGAATCCAAGGGGAATTCGTACATAGATTTCAGAAAACTCGAAAATTGCATTCTGTTGTTCTCCAAATATAAATACCACCGAAAAAAAATTTAATCAATTGGACCGCAAAAGAAATCTCTACTATTCACTTTACCGGATATAAATACTTCGACATTTCCGATTGTTACATTTGATTACGATAAAAATTAAATCTTGTCTTAAGAGTGGATATAAATAAATTTTCAGAGAAATACTCTTTAAATGTAGAGAAACAGATTGTACATGGATTTCAGAAAATTCGAAAATTGCATTCTGTTATTTTCAAATATAAAGCTATAAATCAACTGAAAAAAATTTATCAATAGAACCTCAAAAGAAATCGTATTATTCACTTTATCGGATATAAATACTTCCGAATGTATTTGATTGCGATAAAAATTAAATCTTGCCTTAAAAGTGGATATAAATAAATTTTCAGATGAATATTTCTTAAATATAGAGAAATATGATGAACGTCATGTTATAACAAACGTTAAAAAATATGGCAGCAAACTTGTTTCACGAGAAAACACCAACTCATTAAGTGTATTGCTACATGGGGAACTATTTCGAAGATGACGGGAACCATTAGTGAGTAACTAATTGAGGGGTTCCGAGGTAAAACCCGGTAAACTCGAGTAACAGACATTTATGCAAATGTCAGTTACCTGATTTTACGTCCGAACCCCTTAATTAAACATAGTTGTCAGGTGGACATTCCAAAAGCTTAAAAGTCAAACTTAAAGAAAATCGCACATAACTGTAAGGAACATTTACGCTCTTTTAAATAACGGAGATGGAGCTTTGCATCACAATAGCGTATAATTACAATAATGTGATATTGTATATTATATTCATTCGCAGATAGATTGAAGGTTTTACGTTTATCATTTATATAAAAAACAGAATAAAACAATAATGAAAAAAAAAATTAATTTCAATAAAAAATACAAAACCTTTTGCATCTCTCTTAATTCACTATACAGAAAATTAAAATAAAACATTTTTTTATCATTGAATATTAAAAGTAATCATCTATCGGACTGTCGCCTTCGCCTCTCTCCTCGCACATATATGCACAATTATCTTTTCAAGATCCGCATGAGCGGTCTATTATTCTTATACGCATAATATCCACCCACCTCTTCTCTCTCAGTCTCTTTCTTTTTCTCTTTCTCTTATTCTCTTTCGTTTCCATTTTAAAACTGTTAAGTGTATTTAAAAGCCTATCTCAAACCCTGTTCAAAGCCGCATTCATGGCTGGACGCAGTCAGGTGGCGTTTCACTGTATTTTCTCAGAATTCTCTCTCTCTCTCTCTCT